TGATACTAATTCTTATTACTCAATCCAATACAATCACTCTAAACGTTCTCAAGTGAGCTCCATGTCCTGATCGGACGTGTAACTTCATGCAAGAACATCCTATCAAAAAACAGTGGCTTCAATCAACTATTTGTCCACCAAGTGCTGCAGACAGTCCGGATGTTGGTAAAATTCTTTAGATTTAAAGACATATGACTTTTTATCTTAAAAATAAAAGAGAAAAACTGCGGGAGAAAGCGTCTTGCGATTGACGTGTAATATATTCAAAGGTCATACGTTACATCTTTCTTACATTTCCAGTTGGACTGTTAGTGTCGGAAATAGGCCTAATCACGGTTTTCGACGCAATCCTGCCGGATAGGCAAAGCGGTCAGAAATTACAGTGTTTATATGGGAATCGGATGGCAAATAACTGTTTTAAAATATCGATTTTGCACAACTCATGGATCGCAACTTTACCATACTAGGCAGCAGATTGTATTCACCAAATTTGAAGGACGTAGTTGGGCTAGAAGACCCTCAGTTAATTTTTAATTTTACATACATTTGTCTATAATTTTGTTTTCCCGCGAACCGCGTCTACCCAACCAAATTTACAGACAAATGTATGGAAAATTGGAAAAATTAATTCAGTGAGCGTCTTCTAGTCAAGCTACATCCTTCAAACTTGGTTAATACAATCTTCCACCTAGTATTTTAAGGTTGCGATTCACAAATTGCGTAAAATTCCATTTTTCAGAAAGTTATTTGCCATCCGATTCCCATACAAACACTGTAATTTCTGACCGCTTTGCCTAGCCGTCAAGATGGCGTCGAAAACCGTGATTAAACCTATTGCTTCTGAATTTATCGGGATTCTCCGTGAGAACTTGCCTAAATTGAGAGCTATACTCTCTTGAAATTACAATGTAGGCTATCAAAATGTACCTGTTTTGGCGCGGCGACAACTTTAGTTTTTCCTTTCTTCTGAACATCGCCTGCTTCAAAAGTTATCGTATTTCTTTCCGAGACGCGGTCACCAGGTGGTTGAGTTTGGATATGAACACGCGTAACGTGCGACCCCCCGCGCGTAGCGTGCGAGTCCCCACGCGTAACGTGTAAGTCCTTTTGTTTGTAATGCTGCTCTATTTCGTGTCTTACGTCATCAGGAAGGGCCGCTAGGAATTCTGGATCTATTTGTGATGGGGAAGGTAAAAGTTCTGAAGCTCTCTGAGGTGCTGTTTCTGGTAGAGAATTCTCTGCAAATAATATTCGTGAAGGTTTTGAGGCTGTTTTCCCATGCTTGCTCCTAGTATTTTTTCTTTCAGGCAGCCGTTGAGGCTCAACTTCTCCTTCTTCCTAAAAAGCAACCAGAAATTGTTCTAAGTTTTGGTTGCTATTCCCGTTATTCACCATCACTTATACTGACTAAACCTGTTTTACTCGTTTTTCGTAGGAGTAACCAACGGCTCGCAGGCTAGGTTTCACAGCAATATCGTTGTTCGTTGGCTCTGTTCTGTCGATACACTCTTGTCCTTATACAAGAATAGAGTTTAGAAGAATATCGAGGCTGAAAGAACATTTTAAGAATAAACCCGAAGCTGAGATTTTGAAAATATAATTTTGTGAATTGAAAACTTGTAAATACAATTATGATTTTATCTAAACCGTATAAAATTCAGTACAAGCCGTATGTTGGATGCTAATATCATTTCTGCATTAAGTGTGCCATATGAAGGATAACAAACACAATAGCCTCCATTTGGCGCAAAAATATGCTCGGATATTTGTCCTTGACCATTATCCGTTCCTCAAAGCTCACAGTTTTCCTCGAGCGTAACTGTTCGCTTCTAGGACCAGATAATGCCCGTGGACAAATATCGGTGCAAATCTTCGCGCCAGAAGGAGACAATTCTTCACTTATATAAGAAAGAGCATAACAAAACAGAGGGAAATTCCGGAAATTATTCTTTAAATTGAGAGAATCTGTTTATGAAACAGATCTCTTTTCATTGTTCACAATGAACGTTTTGATTGGTCAGTTTTCTTCCAAGTGGCCCGGTTCAAATATAAACTGCGCGGTAACAATTTCCACTGCGAAAACCAGCTGTTTCCCCAGTGTGTCTTCGGCCTCGTCAATTATGACCTCCTAGAAATCTCGAATGAATAATCTAATATTGTTGTAGAAGAATTCTGACTTAATTTATTTTCAAATAACGATTGCCAATTATTTTTGCTCTACATAGCGTGTAGAATTTAAGTTGACGCTTTAGCAAAAATGCGCGCGGATTGAATTGTTGTTTCAATCTTGCAGGTGTTGACAAGCTCTCCTCTCTTCATTGAAAAATTTTGAGGTTTAAAAGACGCTTGTTTTTAGGAATTGAATTTCCCAGTGATATTTCTAAATCTTTCTCAAAACTTCAGAGAAACGGGCCACTGCACATTAATTAGCAACTATTGGACGAGGTCGATCAAAATATCGTGATTTGTCAGTGGCGAGCAGAGACACTGACAAATCACAATATTTTGTGATAATCGAGACCAATAATTGTGTTATCATTCGCTAACCAAGTTTGTTTTCATATTTAAATCACTCTCTGACAGCTCAGGGAAGCGATCTGCCATTTTCACCCGAGAGCGTAGTTTCAATTACGCATGAGCAGAATATTATTTGAAGCAAAACACGTTTAAACGGTACTACGCATGACCAGACCATTATTTGTAGGCAGTTATTTGCAGGTCACGAGGTAGGCTCTCGGCCAATGGAAAGGACCAAAAAATGCATGTGATGATAATGGCTGTTACTAGCCACTCAGCTGTGTTGGTTGGTTCTCTCATCGTTTTCTATTTGTTAAATAGTGTACGAGTAGCTCAGCCAATCAACTAGCAGCATTTGCATTAGTATACAAGTAGAATTCTACTTATGTAAATGAACTCAAACTGCTCCGTAATCTAATGGCTACTGCTTATAATTAAAAGAAATTCTTTGCCACTGACACTCTTAGAAGTACTTGCCAAGAATATTCGTTTACCCTTTAAATACAAACGAGACGAGAAACGTTTATTTTTTTCAAATTATTTCCGTTTTGTTGTGAATCATCGCATTATCTCGTTCCGTTGGATAAAAAGCTGTAAAAATTAACTACACATGTACTTTAATTTCGCTATCGTTATCCCCACACAATTCACATAAATAATTTGCTGGCATACACACTTTATTGACATGCAATGTTTCTCTGGCCGATGAACGAATAAAGTAAAAATCTTGAACTAAAAGCGTATGTAAACCCGGTCTTTGTTTGATTTTACAGAGCAACTCAGTCACAAAATGCATACTTCATGTAAAAACAGCCTCGCTGCTCGCTTGGGTTGGTTTACCAAGCTACCGCTGAAGTGCAATTCTGGTCTCGCATACGGCCGGAAAAAAAAATTTCCTTAAGTCTAATATCAACCAAACGAACAGCGCAATCTTTGATTCAAAGGGATGTCTCTTCAAATTCTGGCTGCGTTACTACTTCGCTACAACGGCTTATTTTTGGCGACATTGGTTCAATGTCGTCTTCTTGCTTATTTTCTTCGTAGACAGGGCATTTCCCTCGCCACGTACTTGCTTTGTCTTTCTGGATGTGCTTGTGAGTGCCTTTGAGGAAGGACATTCGTTCTGTGTAGCGGTAATGTCTTTGTCATCGAAATTAGAGTGAGAAGCGACGACCTCAGGGACATTTTCAAGATTCCCTTCAGTGCGGACTACATTTCTTTTGTTGGCATTCTGTTGCCGTCCTTCGTCTTCTTGTTCATTTTGTCTCACAGCATTGTTTGGCGATCCAAACAGTCTCATTCCAAATTCTTCAGTTTCTTGTAAACTTTTATTTAAAAGCAACTCAATAAAAGCAGTTCGAAACTGTCTCTTCCTCACAGTGTAAATAACTGGGTTAAGAACTGAATTGACTATCGCCGGCACAAAACCAAGATGACGAACTACTGCTTTAATACCAGGTGAAACTGCTTCGCCAAAAATGTGCCATGTGATAAGCATGGAAATCGAGGGCAAAAATAAACACAGAAAAATTGTCACTAGGATTATTGTGGTTAGCTTTAATGCTCTCTTCTCCTGTTTAAATTTTGCTCTGGCCTCCATGGAAACTTGCTGTGAAAGAATATGTTTTTCGTGTCGACGGGCTTCCTTNAATAGCTTGTCGGTAACCTGTTGGTAACCTGTCAGCTGACAATTGACCGACAGTCAGTTTTGGGAGCTCTTCTTCACAACTACCTTTATTTGCTGGAAAGGGCAGCTGCAATATATTGTCTTTGACCCTGTCCATCAAGTAAAGGCTAACTACAAACAAACATGGATGAAACTAACCACGAGAAAACAGTTCATCCAGCAATCAGGGTTCTGCCTTCGGCATTCGCCATTCTCCAAAATACCCCTGCTGTTCCTACAAACCCTTTAGCTCCATAAAGGGTAAAATTCTAGCAAGATATGGAGCTTTAGAACCAATTTTGTTAGACTGTCTTTGCGGTACTTGCATTTCTTGCTTCACACCCCCGATACTGGTATATGAACTGTAAAATCATTTCATGAACGTTTGTGCCTCATCTTTTTTTACAGTTTGGAGGAAACAAATCAATATGAAAATGATTTTTCAGCACAAGCACAGCCTGATTTTATTAAAAAAAAATGAAAACTCACCCAGCCACCCCAGTCACCTTTAGGTACATTTTCGTCATCTGCCTTCTTCTTGGACGTTTTTCTACTCAGCTGCAGTAGCGCAGCCATAACAACTGAACAGCAGTGAGAGGCCTATAGTACCTCTTAAGATTTGCTTACGTCCGCCATTTTTGTTTGGCTAGAACCCAGACTCTACGCTAACATTATTAAGGCGAGGTAGCCATTTGTTGCTAAGTAACATCGTTCCAGCCAAGCAAGAAAGCAAAATGTCGGACTTTGAAGACGACGAAGGTGTTGATGAACCAGTGTTAGACGATGAAAATGATGAGGAAGGAACTGAGGAAGAAGAAGTAAGTTATTTTGAATATCCTCTTTCGTTTCTGAAGTGAATCTGATATCCACTTCATGGAAACAGTGACAAATAACACATATCATAATGTACCAGAGTGTGCGAAAAACATTTTTCAAATTTTATCTTGTTTTGGCGCGCTTTCTGCATTTCTTGTGGTATTAGAAACCTCCAGAGAATCCCCTGACGGAAGAAATGTTAGCTGACAGCCTTTCGTTGCTGTGCAAAACTGGAGATGGCCTGGCACATGCATATGTCAGACTTGACATACATGAAAAGTAAGCTCGACTCTACGGTCATTATTTTAATAACATTGATCCTACCTTCAAAATTCAAATTCTCCTAGCTAGATGTCATGGATTTCTTTCAATGGAAGTTCTGAGAATTTGTAGATACATTGAGACAACCCCATAATATTATTGGTCATCTTGTTTATTGCCATCTCCGTCATTCTAGGAACAAACTGATTGAATTAAGAGGGGTCCAGTTAGAGGCGCGGTGGCCTCATGGTTAGTGNAATGTTCTTATGACTATGTGTTCATCCACGATGGTGACTCGTACCTTTCTCCTCTCATTGGAGCCGTCAGTGGAAAGAATTTGGTTCAAACAGTTGTGGCCCACTCAGGACAGGTAACTGTAGTTTTAAGAAGGGAAGCCTTAGAGCCGACTGGCTCATAGCAGCCGTAGCTTATCTTGGTTTCTGTAGCATGAAGCAGCTAGGAGTATTTCTACTCCCCCTGGATGGGATGCTAGTTCATCACAGGTCACTCCCCCACAATTTGTTAGGTTTCCCCAACAATTTGCTGCTACTCATTTATACTCCTGGGTGGAGAGAGGCTCAAGAGCACAACACAGTGTCCCTAGCCAGGGCTCAAATCTGGACCGCTTGATCCTGGGATGATTGCACCAACGATGAGGCCACGGTGCCTCCACCTGCCCTATACTTCTTATAAAAAAAGGTTGACTATATACCTGTCCAACTATAACCATTGTGTATACAGACAGCTCATACTACAATGCCGCATCTTTTTAATCTTGAACTAGTTAATGAAATAGTTGAGGTTAGTGGCTTTGATCCAAACAAGTTGGGCAGACTGAGAGTTCTGGAGCTGCGAGGCAACAAACTCATGACAACTGTTGGACTATCTAACCTTCCTAACCTGAAAGAGCTTTACATGGTGAGACACAAGCAGCTCAATTAGATCTTATGTTAAAATAATGTTTCATGGAATATTTTGTGTGTAAAATAATGTCTTGTCAACGTACAGTAGGCTAGCCAACGTGTGACCTTTGAATGTGCTCTGTGCAATGCTGTTTGGTATCTTCGATTTAATTTTAATGTCGTTCAATGGCTTAGACCAAAAATAAAAATCTAGCTAAACATTTTAGACCACAAGACAGATGTTTGGAGGTTTACAAATGTCTAATTTGCACTATTGGCATAATTCAGTACAGAACATAAGAGCATGTATCTAGGGAGATGGTGGGTTGAAGATGTTTCAGACCAAAATAAGTTTTCATCCATTCTGCAATCAGACACCCTTTAGATCTTAAGCATCTATTATACAGACTGACTGTTAACAATAGCAAAGTCTTTCTTATTTGTCTTTCTTAGGGTGCCAACACCATAAGAACTCTTGAAGGCCTGGACAGATTGGAACATCTGTCAAAATTACATCTCCGTGACAACCAGATTGAGAAACTTGATGGCTTCTCAGAAAATATGAAAAACCTTCAGTACATTAATTTGAGGTAAGTTACAAGGAAGCTTCAAAAATTAATATTAAATTACTAAGGGGATAAACAGTGAATGAATTGCTTCACTTATGCTAAGGGTGCTCTATACAAAAAATATGCAGAGCAAGAAAGAAGGTTAATGTTTACCTTCTGTCTTTATATCTTTATATTAAATCATTAGATAGTATTTCCAACATTTAGTTACCCAATGGATTTTATGTCAATGTTTATGTTTTTAAATATACATATTGTGATAAAATCTATTGTGTACATGTGTACCTATCTACAAAACATTTGCTTTCAATTTTCATTTCCTTTGTATTCCTTACTGAAATAACCTGGTTTTAAAACAGGAGGTAACACTTTTAAACTACAAAATTAATACATCATAATTTGAAGTTCTTGACAGTACAACAAATTAAAGGTGCATATAGCCTGCCAGCAGGCCCTTCTCGTAGCAAGAAAGAAGGAGGGGAAAGGGGACAAAGAGCCTGCCCACAGCATTTGAATTAAGAATTGATCCAAATTTTGGATGCAAAATACTGATTGACTGAGATTAATACATTGGCATAGTGACATTATCCAACTTTGATCAGTTTCTGTTTAGAATTTAAGCAAAATGATGGCATGCAGAAATGAAATGTTCAGAGCTGCTTGTGACAAAATTTCAGAATATTTAAATCTCCTTTAAATTAGAAGGTTACACAACACATACTATGCAGTGGCATCTGTCAATGTGTTTTTCATATAATAAATCCTAGTCAAAATGGACTCCAAGCAACTTGTGGGACGTGACTTGACAATGTTCAATTTCTGTACCATTGAGCACTATACCTAAGTCCTCTGATGACAGCTTTTTTTCCTTTTTTTTTTTTCGTAAATGCTTTGCACTAATGAGAAGTGTCTTGGTCTTTTCTGTGTTAAGAAACATTTTGTTTTCTTTCGACAATTTGTTATCTTCTAGGTCTCTTGCCAGCGAAAGGTTTAGTGAAATGATCTCATTCCGTTTTACACTTAATGACAATGTAGTGTTCAGCATAATGTCTACAGTTGAATTGTTTAAGTAAAGAGGCATGTCAGAAGAAATAGGATAGTGCCCAGTATTGAGCCATGAGGCACCCCTTAAAAATATTCATTTATTGAGCAAACTGACATTGTCCTTCAAGATACATGTATGAATCAAACCATGTAACATGACTTACAAGTATTTACAAATTAGAAACAAAATTGTATTTTAATTGTTTTTTGCATCTACAGAGGCAACAATGTCACAGACATGAAGGAAATTGCAAAACTAAAATCTTTGCCTTTGCTAAGAGCCTTGCTATTGATGGGTAAGCAACCAATTCTGACTGACTGTGTAATTTTGGCTTATTTCTGTATCCATGAAAGGGATGACAAATGGTTTTTCAAAACACTTTGAAGTCCAGCCCACCTTCCTGGATAGCATCCTGGTCTGCAAACAGGTTACCTTAGGACAATAATGGCCAAGTTTGAAGTAATGCAGCCTCTATATTTTATTCTGATTAACTTTTGGTAAGCATCGGCCAAGTATTTATAATAAGTGACTTCCCAATTCTACAAACTGCAGTGAACTGTTCTGAACCATTCTATTGCAGAATGTCCCGTATCAGATGAAGACGATTATCGTATAGAAGTGTTAATAAGTCTGCGACGACTAGAGAGGCTGGACAAAGACGAGTACACCGATGATGAGAGACAAGAAGCAGAAGAGGTGGGCGACATTTCAAGAAATTTATGCATCCTTGTGTTGATGGAAAATTTTATCCAAAAATTATCTTCTGAAAGAATTAGGCAGATTCTATGCACTGTGCATCTTACTTTGATTGTAATAAATAATTATTATTGTGTATAATTTACAGATTTATGAACAAAGAAGACAAGAGGAAGCATTGGCAGTAAGTGCACACCTTAAAATGTACATCAAGCACATTACAGATGATATTAATACAACCATGTTGTCCCTCAATCATGTTGCCTCTTTATTTTCTAGACTGGGACCCAAGAAGTCATACACACAGATGAAGATGACTAATAAACATGTACTTGTTGTATATATAATGTGTCAAAAAACAACTCAAGTAAGTTGTACCAAAAGTATGTACAAATTTTGTGGTGTTACAAATGAATGTAGTCTTTGCTTGTGTCCAGTTGTAGATACAATAGTTATCAACATGATTTTGCCCAACTACTTGACATGTATAAACTTCAAAAAACTCAGTGGTGTTCAATTTTATTTGACTTACTTTCTAAATGCTTCTAAATTCTTTGTAAATGTTTTCGAAGAGTTTGCAAATAATTCTCAAAAACAGAAAAAAAATATGTACCTTAAAAGATCACATTTTACTGATTTTGGTATTTGCTCTTTTTAAGTTGCTTTTTCAGAAGTTGATGAACAAATAATAAGAATAATATTTTTTTTAAAAGTAGCAATAAATTACACTAAGTCTTGTTGTTTTTGGAATATTTAGAATTCGCACACCGTCTATGGCTGTTGTTCTCATTGTTGTTATTGATTGTTGCAAAATTTGTTTATCAACCACTGTAACCATCTTTTCTGTCATTTTTTACCAAGTAATTTATACTCTTATAAGTGTGTCATGTCATTGCCACTGGCAGACATGTACTTTTCACAACATTCCAAGTTTGTGATTATATGCCCGTGTACATTGTAACTACAGACAAATGCCAAATTCACTTAACATTTACAACAGTGTTAGAAAGAACTTCCAGCTTCTTGAGGGCTTCTCGGATGATTGTTTTACACAGTAAATATTGCTCATTTAGAATTTGGAAAATTGTTATTTTTATTTCTTATTTATTACCGTAATACCCAACTTTTCCTATTGAAATACCAGATGCAGAACTTTATAAAAAGGTTAGTGAGTCTAAATGTCACTTCTGCGTGTGTCTGTCATTCATAGTTGCTATCACTAAATTAAGTGTTAAAACAAAAAGTTCATAACATTGTCATAACGCTCTAATTTTTTGCCGACATTAGTTTTCTCTTCTAGAAAATCTACTGAAATTTAAGAGCATAAACTTGTTTTCTTGTTAGTGACAGAGAGATTGGTCATCTAATCTCTATACAGTTTCAATAGTAATAAACAGGACAAAATCCCACTACACTGTATTTGAATAAAACTAAGATACCAAACCCTCTCTGTCAAATTCAGTGACCCTTACAGTCAAAGGTTACATAGAACATTTTTATTATAAAACTTAATGAAGAAACAGTTCTGGAAAAATTCTTCATCTGAGCTGAGACCTGTCTAAGACATTGTACTATTACTACATGTAACTCAAAGTATGGTTGAACAAATGTTTCTTGTCACAGAGAATAATTGCTATCAATTTAATTGGTTCTAAGGTGCCCTGATGTCAAAGTTCATCCTTACTAGCACTCCTAGCACAACGAAACATAATGTTATCTGAGCCAGCATCAGCTGTGTTACCCATCCTGAAAAACAAACAAATGTGAAAAGCTAGTTTATAAGTGTTCAGAGATGTTGTTGTGCATTACACATACACCTCTGTTATGCATATGTCTTAACATTGGTACAAACTAATTGTTCATTTACAATTGTATTATATGAGTGAGAAAATTACTTCATTGTGATTAGCTGAGAACAGGCCAATTTTATCATTAATTTTTTAATTTGCACTGCAGTACAAATTAACATGCACATTCTCAGTATTCTTGATAAACTTCAAGGTGTTTGGAAATGAGGTCAAACACTGTCTTGAGTGTTTGATATATCTTCTCAACTGAAACTAAAACTACGGAGAAAACAGAGAAATAAAATTGTAAAAAATCTCGGCTAATTAAGATCAGATATCCAAACAACGTCACGGTCATGATTTCCTTCGTTTAAACTTGATGAATTATTAATGAGTTTGAGAAGTAATAAATGAATAATCCTATGAAAGCTTGAGCAATTAAGGATTTACACCACTCATGATATTTGAAAATTCTCTCAAGAATTTTCACTCATCACTTGTAGTGTAAATCCTTAATTGTATTCATATCCACACAATAATGTTATACTATTTATTTGCATTCAAATCATAATTTTCAAGAAAGGTTGACATACCTTGTTGTAACAGTGACTTTATGGTTGTGTTTACCATCTGCTGTGTCTATGTATGATCCACCTCGCAGAACATATTTTGTTTCCCTTCCTTTGTCTTTAAATTCATCAGACACCCACTCCCATGCATTCCCCAACATGTCATACATTCCTATCAGGAAAAATGAATAACATTGCATTAAAAAATTTTGCTGAAATTCATGTTTGACCTGAAACCCTCATCACTTACAGTGGTGTCCACTAATTAAAAATAAAAAAATATGCATGTAAAGCTCAAGATACTTTGTTAACTCTGGATTTAACAATATTTGGATCTCAATGAGCTAGGAATTCTAGAGTTCAAACTATTGCTCTTTTGATTTGGGATTTGTTTGATATCAGTGTGATGATGATTGTGAAGATCTGGAATTGAAAATGGATTTGAGAATTTTTTATGTCAACCTGGAGCACAGTAATACACATTTAACAATCCGTTCTGGGTCTTAAATGTTCTACACGAACTGAAGAACAATGCATGCACCTAATAGAGTTTATCCTGTCTTTTATTTATTGTACATAAAATGAACCAGAAGAAATAGTTGAAATCAAGAATTTAAGTGACATCATAATATGCCTTACCAAATTTATTCTGAGCAGGAAAGGCATCTACAGGAGCAACTCCAACATAACCATCCTCCTGAGTGTTTTCATCAGGAAATTCTCCCTGCAGAACACATGCAATATTGTATGTGCAATGTTTAACATAAACAGTTTAATCAGTTTCAGCACTGTGGAATTACATATTTAATTTACTAAACAGCCATTGTGTAGTTCCAAAAACAGAATTCCCCACCCACCCCCAGAAAATTCCAATCCCTTCTGTGGGGGTGTGGATATTTTCTAGAACTGCACATTTATCTCTGCCAATGTGATACCATAACCAGAAATTTAAAAAGTTATAAACAAAGTTACCCAAATTAATGGTGTTAAAGACCTGACTTATTCACTTGTAAATGTCTCTTTTAAAGCAGCTCAGCCTATCCATACAACTAATACCACAGATACACAACTCTTTAGAATATAATTACCTGCCAGATGTTCATACGTTCTTTTTCATAATCCAATCCCCATGGATAATCTTTCTCTGTTCAAAACAAAAGGTTGTAATAATCAATCCGACTAGATGCTAGCTCAGTACATGTATGTTAACCAAAAAAGGGAACAAAATAATTTTAGTTAAACTTTTTTACATGCCAAATGTGGCAACCAAAGCTCTGTCTTGTAATACATGTATACATACATATACAAGTCCTGTGGTTACAGGATTTTAAATCACTTTCACATGTAATGCATTACTAAAAATTGCCAAACCAAATTAAAGACGTGGTAGAAATATTGATTATTTCAGAAAAAAATACTTTGACTTGTATAGAAGAAATTTGAATTTCTTCTATACATGCAGTAAACAATTAAAATTACAAGTTATTATAATTATAATTACAAATAATTACAGGTTAACGCACTCAGCGAGTGAATTATCAGGATTTACCTGCATGAGTTCACTAACAATGAATGAGAAATTTCAATACCACACGATGCTTTGCCCAGTGCGGTATTGAAAATTTCAAGTTCATTGTTAGTGAACGAGTACGGGTAAATCCCGATAATTCCGAGCAATGAGTGCGTTAACATTTTTATTATTCAAATTGAATATGCCGCACAAAGAAACACTGCATTGAAACCATTATATTTGGGTCAGTCAAAGCCATGGTGTAATGTCAGTGGTGTGTTGAATTTACACCACGGATATTACACAAAGATAAATATGACGTCAAGGTGGTTGCCTCGTCACAACCCAGTATCATGTGGTACAAATCAGCCAATCAGAAAATTGGAATTTGTACAGTGTATGAAAGTTGAATAATACCTATACTTAACTTACAGGTAATCATGATTTAAATTAAGATTTATAACATGAATTAGCCTGGAAGTGAAGATGGATTCCCACCAATAGGAAAAAACCCATTTGCATCGCAAACTAAAAGTAAACACACCTTTGATTCCTCCTCTAACAGCAAATTCCCACTCAGCTTCAGTTGGCAGCCTCTTACCCATCCACTCACAGTATGCCTTGGCATCATTGTAACTGATATGCACAGCAGGATATGACATCTTCTCTTTTATGGATGTACCAGGGCCTCCTGGCTGTGTATAATAAGAGTTAAAAATATACAGTACAGGTAGTCGGAGCTGCAACAAATAGTGTTTGACTGGTACCATGTTGTGGCATACTGCATGTCAAGGAATTTTCATCATCCCCACATTCTGTTTTAGAAATTATATGCAATGTTCCCAATATTTTTTGTCAAGTACTGATTGCAGATTAATGCTGGTCTCCCACTGAATTTTTCAATTCCCCACTTCTTTTTATTGCCAGCAAAAATTGACCGTTCCCCTGAGAAAGTCAGGCTATCAAAAATAGTTCTCACCACAATATAAAAGGTAAATTGGATAATATTTTGAAAACTGTAGAACATGAATTATAAACTTTGTCAATTATCAATTACTGAAAGCCTTTTGCTATTTTAAACTTACTTGTCTCCAGTAAGCCTGTTGTACTGGCAACCACCATGGTGCACCCTAAAAGAAATTAATTTAAAAAGACAAGGAAATCAGCAGAATGAAAACCTCCAGTGAAATTACTTACACCACAGCAAAGGCACAGGATCAGCCCCCTACCCCTCAAGACATGACAATGTTGAGTGTCGCTTTGCTCAATGGCTACCCCCTGTCACTCTGATTCAAATCCCCCTATAAGAGACTCTTGAGTGTCACCTGGGGATTAGGCTGAGGGTGGGAGATGACTGACATTTCAGGCTCACATTTCCCTCCTGATTTGAAAATTACATGGTCTTTTTTTCTCTTTCTTTTTTATACAGACCGTATTCTGGATCGTATTTTGAGAGATCTATTTAAACTGTCAACATTTTGTCAACATTGACAGGCATGAAAAAAAAAATCGTAAAATGTCCGCATGTTAAACATAAGGAATTACGTGTTGATGTAAAGTACAAAACCAACTTCTGGGAACTGACATTAAAAAGTTGCCACAACCATTTGCAGCTTGGAACGAGAAGGTAAAGGGAATCCCCCCTAAATTAATTAAAATTGACGTGGCATTCAAGACGAAGATCAACTTACCGGCACAGATTGAGTGATCTTCGATCTCACTTCCTCTGGCACGAAAGTACGAAAGACAAAACTCCATCCAAACCTCTCTGCTTCCGTCTTGAATTTCTTAGCGCGAACAAACTTTCGAAAATTTTCATTTGTGACGGGATATTTATCGATCACAAATGGTTTGACTCCGACAGTCTTGGCAGGTAGTTCTCCACGTTTCGTGTCAGCGGATGGGCTGCCCATGCGAAATTTACCACCCGATAGCTTAACATCAGCACTGAAGTCATCACTACCTGCACACGATACGTCTGTACTCCATAAAATGAAGAGAAAACTGTACAAGGTACAAAGGACTACAACTTTCGACATCATTTTATTACAAGGCGTTCCATGGAGTTACCCGAGGAAGACTGGGACTAATCGAGGGACGCTGGTTTTCCCCAGCGGGTACCTATCGGGCAAAATTTGCAAGTAGTTTTACGTGCCTTTGTGCTATTATCTTTTTTGTGGAGGCATGCTACATTTTAGTGTTCTCTTTATTACTCGGGCTTTCCGAAGGAAACGCCCGAGGTATAAATTCGGCTTAGTATTTTTTTTTTTTGCGTTCAGTCACAAATCGCCGTCGAGGTTACGGCGCATGCGTAGTGTGCGCTACTGAAGCACATGGGCGAGTAATGGCGGATGGTGTTAAGGTCTCGTTTATTCTTTGTTTGTGTTTCTTTAAAGAAAAGAAAACTCACCTGTCTTTTTAGCAATTTTTTTGGGGGAGGGGGTGGATACACACAGGCTAATATAAATAGAATAAGCTGAACAGACCACATGTTCCAGACTTCCCAGTTGCACCAACGAAGTAAATTAAGCCACAAGAAACAAGTAATCGATGTTTAATTTTTATAACATAAGAATATAGATATAAACTTAGAGAAAACACAGAATACATGATGAATTTTTCTCCTTCTGTAAGATATAATCTGTAACATGCTTTTAAATAGAAATCTAAGAATGCAATGAAAAACAAATAAATATTAATACATAAATGCACTTTTACCAAACACTTACAGTTTCATGTTTAGTGATCAAGTCTTTGAGCAGAAGCAATGCTAATAGTTGACTGTTAGTTTCTACTTGCCACTTTGCAAATGTAAACTATCTTATCATTATGCCCAGGGGTAGGTGGGGAGGGGGCTTGTCAGAAAATTTGAATTAAACCCCTAAAGGAGACAAACTGGGTGCGGCTCGAGCTTTCTTTCACCCCTAAAAGATACCTCTTAAAACAGAATAGGCTCGATTACCAGCCGCTGATCGGGAAAGGAGCTCAGGCTAGTAGACCAGACTCAAGAGAGAGATAGAAATCAAGCCTAAAAACAGAAATGAGAGCATTATGTTCTAAATAAGTGCTATCTCTTTGACTACACCCTAAAATAGCAGCATTCCATCCTGAACATCCTAAGTGAGACCAAAACCATTTTTTCTACCCCTTAGGAAGACAACAAGCATCCCCAACCTTTTCATATGGAAGTCTACACCCCCCCTCCCCCTCCCCCCCCCCCCTCCCCCGGGGTATTTAATATGCTAACTAGTTTCTAGACTCTATCACCACAAGGTCAACTCAAAGCTTGCTTTCAAGCAGAGACTTGGCTACATTTCTGGTACAGTGGTCTGTTTAAATTTTGAAATTTACATTACATGTAATGATGGCCATCTATAATAAATTATTTTAATGATGACCTAGAGCAGCATTATCGGAGTGGCACACAGTAATAAGTATTGTGAGTGAGACTGGGTTGAAAAGCTCAAAATTGTATTTTCAGGATGGGGCACTTCTCAATTCTTGTATAAATTTATTTGACTTGAAGTGTAAAAAGCACACTTACTGTAACATATTTAAAATCTTTAATGCTTAAAAAAAATCTCAAAAAAGAGCTACCCCTAGTCCCTGCTAATGTCAATAGACTCTGTTCGAAAGTCTCAGCACAGCAGCACAGATGATTTTGCACTGTAAGTTTTCGGATTAACAAATACAATAGGCAAGGTAACATGAAGTTCACAAAGCTAATTGATAGTAAGATGGTGTGTATGCCAGCCAGTGCATGTAGATCTTGTTTTCTATGAATGCATATTAACGTGGCTGCTTAAGGCCTTGATCGCAAGACGTCTGTATTTGAACATTACAAAAAGTGTCAACTGGCACCACTGCAATAGGTGCGCTCTTTGACTTTGGTTTAGGTCTCTTCTTGTTCTAAGTTCTCACCACTCAGAATTTCAAGATGTAATTGTTCAGATGGTTTTGCATCAATATCAAATAACCAGTCATCTAGTTCTTCTCTTGTGGGATAACTGGACTGAACACCATGCACTGTCACGGTGACTGTCGCAATATTTACTGCCCTGGACACCATCTCGGCGAATGAGAGTTGAGGATAACATGACAGGAAGAATGCTAGTGCTCCTGTTAAGGCATCACCAGCACCAGTTGTATCCACAACATCCACTTTTGATGTTCTAATGTGTGCCATCACTGGATCTGAAAACAGAAAAAATTTATAAGATTTAATATATCAAACATGAGAGATCATATTTCAGGGCTGTAGCCACAAAAAAAATTATGACTGAGGCAATGTCCATGAAAACAATTCTGTTCCTAGGTATTTAGGGTGTTCAAAAGAAAAAGAAAATCTACACTGATTAGTATAAACTAGGTCAGTCAGGCCATACAGTACCGCTCAAAAGTAAGTTACCACCGTCTCGCGAGACGCGTCTCGTTTCTCGCGAGACTCATCTCGAGAGAAACGAGACGAGTCTTGAGAGAAACGAGTTTCTGTACTTCTGCTAGTAAGTAAGAATTCTTAAAGGAACTTACTTTTATGTTCTGGAGTCATTTCAGAAGAGATAGCGCCCTCTGATCCAAGAGTTAACACTACATGTGAAGTACCCTGCTGGTGAAGTTTAACAATGACCCTTTTAACTCCTTCAAAGTCATTTGCAGAGATATCTGTTAAGCTTTCACCCTCCTCTCTGTTAAGTACTAAAACATCAGTGTTTGTGTACACAGCTTGTGGTATTGATTCCAATTTAGGTGAAGGATTGAATACTGTCCTAGTGCCTAGTTTTTTTCCATACTCTAATGCTTCCATAGCAATCTTGAGAGGTATTCCCTTGTCGCATACCATGACTGGACAAGACTGAATAACAGTTTCTGCAGCCATTATGTCTTCTACAGTGAGATGTCTGTTTGCTCCTGCAAGGCTGATAAATGCTGGTTCACCAGAACTGTTCACAGCTGCAAGTGAAACAAGTTCATCAAATTATTTTACTCTCTCATTCATTCTTACAAGGGGGTAATACTGGACAGCAGGGATATGGTTTTCAGGATTTTCATACTTGTACTGTTTGCTATGCCGTTGACATGGCCAAACCACAAACAGTCCATGTGAAGTTTGCACTGAAAATGCCACAAAAGTTTACAGAATTGTAGTCTAACAGCAAAACTCCACACCAAAGATCTTGGACATAACCCTCACAAAACGACATGGTTATTGGCACAAAGCAAAATTAAGCTATGACAATCATCATCATCATCATCATCATAACCTCTTTTCACACCATTAGGTGCACATAAGGCCTAAGGCTATGAAGTTAAAACTATCTTAAACAGTTCTATATTTTGAGAAGTTTAATATTTTCAATTAAGCAATAGAGCACTTTTTCTGTGTTGACATAGACTCATCTAAACACGAGGAAGGTTGGGAGAATTCAAGACAGTTATGCAAACCCACTTGAGACGTAGTCAAGGGTTTGCATAACTTTCGAGAATTCTCCCCAGGTGTTTAGATGAGGCTATGTAAACATGGAAAGAGTGGTTACTGTTTTTACAAAATATTTCTCAAAAAACAATTTGCCTACCCATACCTTTTTCTCAAACTCAGAAGAAACAGACAAAACTTGCCTACATAAAAACATGAAAATGACTGAACAGTGCTGGTTCATTCAATCTGTTAACAGCATCATATATATGATGTTAATACAAATATTAATTAGATAGTAAATAAAGATAAACTTAATTAATTCAAATGCAAAAGATACCCGGGGTATACAATCAATGGAAATCAATGATCGAAAAACCAATTGATCAATCGACATCAATCGATAAAATTAGTTAATTGGTATCGATTGGTATCGGTCAATCGATGATCAATCGATAACCACACAAAAACCNGCTAAGAGGGACAGCTGTATCTGGGAACAAGTATGGACAAGTTGGAACAACAGTGTCGTAGATATTAAATAGAAAGATGAATAACTATATTGCGATGAGTTCAGCGTCCTTTGTGATAGAAGCAAAAAGGGATTTTTGAATATCTCGAAAAATGCGAAACCAAAAGATAATTTTATTTCCGTACATCACAATTTTAAACGTGGGAAATATTATTTTCCAAGTTGTAGTGGTGAAGCGATTTCACACCATCACTCCTTCACTCCTTCACTTCCTGTTAGACATTTGAACCCCCGGGGAAACTCCCATATGAAAAGGTCAGGGACGCTCTTCGGAAAATTTGAATTTAACTCCTAAAGGAGACTAATATGAGGGTTGCTCGAGCTTCATTAGACCCCTAAAAGATACCACTTAAAACGAAATAGGTTCGATTACTAGCCACTGTTCAAGAAAGGATCCCTCGCGCACTTGTAGACCCGACTCGCGTACTCGAGAGATTAGCGGAAACCAAGCCTAAAAACAGAAATTAAATGAGAGCATTTCTTTTGCTATTTTCTATGGCGGTAACTTGTAGTGTTACATTGAACTATTTTAATGAAATTTTATGAAATAGCGCTAAATGATCCAAGCATATATATAGTAAACTTCCCGTTTGGTCTCAATAACAACAAGCTTTGCCTTTCTCAAGGACTGTGAAAACTCTTCAACATGTGGCACTGAATTAGCCAATCACATCATACAACGGAACGAGCAATGTAATGCTACTTCAACGAACTGAACTAGCTTGCATAACGGAATTTGGTTCGTTAAAATATGTTCACTGGTAAAATGGCTGCCAGATCTATACATATATCTCTAAAATCGCGTTATACGATTTCGTCATCCTCGTGTTGCACTATACGTAACTCAATACCTTGATTACCTAGTCCAATCATGGTAATTATCAAGGTTAACTAACTCTAACACGACAAAAGACTAATCATATTGTCAATGGCACTGTGCTAATCACAGCTACAGTTCGATACAGTAATTTAATCCAGCTCCTGTTCTACTGGCTTAAACTAGGTTACATCTCAAAATTTAACCGGTGCCAGATCTAATGCAAAATAAATGATTTAAAAGCTGAAAATATGGAACAAATTAATTTAAACTAGATTTAAAACATGAGAAAAATCGACGTTCGATCCAAGTCAAAAACCTATAGTTTTAGAAGTAATTTTCTCAACTACCAAAAAGAAGCGAAATGAAAGTTCGGTTTTGTGCTCGTTAAGTCAAAAAATAGTGTAAAGCTGTGTGGTGTTCTGCTTACCTGCGCAGTCCTTGAACTCTCCTTTCACCGCTCTTTCATGTAGGGGTTGAACCCAGAACGGGGATGGAGTTCAAGGACTGGACTGTGTTCTGCTAAGTTGTACAACTGGTACAATCATTGTTGTATGCAGTAAATATATCATGTATTTCTGCCATCATTAAAAACCCCGTTAGCACAAATTTTGACTCCGAAAAACAAATCAGATAAAAATTTAAAAGTGAAACTCGTACTGGAATGCAAATACTCTTGCTCGTCAAAAATCGTAGACTCTCAATCTTAAAACTAATGAACAGCGAAAGTACTACTTATCACTGGCAGGGAGTAAGCAATTTCGTTTTCATTAACGTTCTCTTCAAAACATTCTTTGAATATGAACGTTTCTGTATTTTTTTTTTTT